ACAATCTGAAAACAAAAATGTATAACCAAAATAAAACATATTAAAACAACAAGAAATGCGTAACTCATATCAATGGATTCAGAATGTTCCTGTGGGGAAAATGTGCAAGTAAAACTTCGAGATGATGCTACATAAAACTAGGTATACAGATTACTGACAGGTGGCATTCACTAGGCAAAGGGGTGTAAAGTATATATACATCTATAGATAGTGTGACATCTAAACCACTTACAACACAATGCAAATCTCACTCATAAAGATACTGACAACAGTAACAGAAATAACTTGTCACAGCTTACAGGTGGCAGCACAGGTCATAGCTCTGTACATAGTGTTTACCACAAGGTGGCACCACATGTCGTAGTTCTGTGTGTACCACTAGGTGGTACTACTGGTCATAATAACTCTGAAGTGATCCACCAGGTGGTACTGCAGGTATATACTCAGTTGTGTACCTCCAAGTGGAACCACAGACCATAATTTTGTACCACCAGATGGCACCACCTGTAAAAACTGCAAAAGTTTTTTTTCTGTCAGAAAAGAAAGATTTTTTTAAACTATAGTATATATAAATGTACCATTCTTCTAACTTCATGACATGAAAGTATTTGTTTAGATAGTCAGACTTACCATGATACTTAGAGATCAACTATTGTTCTAATATAGTTATGCCATTTTTATGCATATTTGTTAAGCCAAACATCTTCCAAGTGCCTCAAGAGTCAGTTTAACTATTAGGGATCGGTAGAACTAAAACGATGATATACATGTATATCAGTTTCATCAGAAGCTGTTATATTTTGGCTCTATAATACACAAATGCTGTGATGAGAAATCTTTAAAAGTGCAAATGAAAAATAATGAAATTATCAACTCAACGATAAGAAGCTTCTGAATGAAAGGAAAAAGCAAAACAAAAGTTGTTTGTAAGTGAAAAATTGAGCAAAGGGGAAATATTGCTGTACCATTCAATGTATAAACTTAATACCAAGATAATGACTTAGTATTAGTAAAATGATCTTTATCAAGGATCTCACACCACATCTAATTAACTATTAGTGTTTTAATTTGTGGCGACATAATCTGGGTGTTCTTGGATGCTTCAAGAATAAACAAACCCCTAGCCCAACTACTCTTACAATTTTCTGTAACTTTTTTTAAAGTTCCTTTTCCCAGTGTTCATATTACAACAACCAAAATTGATTTCTTGATCCAATATTAATATAAAGTACTCTTTGTAGACCTCTTTTTTGAAAAGAAACGATAATAACTTGTTTGAAATGACTATGTCTGAGACAGTTTTGTTGTCATGTAATCGAACGGTTTTAATCAACTTTAACCATGGTGTAAAGACTAAAGTTGAATTAATATCAATTTCCAGTCAGGTTCTACTTAATTTTTTCATGTTGGTACAGCAATATGATACATATGTGGAGACAACTCACGTTAGAAAACACCGCAGAGAATCCGGCCTCGCAGTAACCTCCCTTGTCATAGCCTAAGCTAGCTGAAATGTACATGGGCAGACTCGCCATCAAACTACAGTTACACGAACAGTGTACTAAACCAACTCACAACGTCATATGTCATTTTAAAATTCCCTATATTCTGATAATTTTAGGGGTTTGAGAAAATCTCTAATATTTCATAGTTATTGGAAATTATTATTTTCAGTTACCATATTCATTGTAATAGGCCCTCGTAGTCAAAACTCCCTTTCGGAGAATATCTGTTAAATTACTGATTCTGTTATATTTTTTTGTAAAAATTAGTGTGATTGATTTCCTCCAGCCAAGGTGGCTTTTAAAGTTTTAACTCCAACGCGACCTACTTTAAGTCTTTTCAATGTCTTTCTTATAACATGAAATATTTTACAAAAACGAAGAGAATTTTTTCGATACAGAGATTAAATTTAAGCCTGTGTCTTTGTTGCAGAAAACAAACATTCACATATTTTTTTTATATATATATATATAAACTTTATCCCTAACAGCCCCTTAATCTATAAATTGATACTATTTATACTATAAGATTTCAGAGTGTCTAATACGACAAATATGGTAGCTTAAAATTGGCTTTTCATGGCCATTAAAGGTTACGATTTAGGTGACATTGTGAGAAGGTTTTCATAGACCTGTGACAGACATTCAATTAGACGCTACAGAACGCTACACATCAACAACTCTAAACATGATTAGCCTACAGATCAGAGACCACGACTCACCAGCAGATAAGTCCAACATCTTATATCGCCGGGCAGATAATATAAATCACAGATGAAATCTACAACTTGAAATCAGAGGGCAAAAACAATAACACAAAAATCAACCATGATGGGTATTAAGGGGCAGACAAAGCAAAATATATAGCTCTGCGTCTTGTATCAAAGGGCAGACAACTTAATGGCAGATAAAACAAAAATACATATAAAGGGCAGACAACTCAGTTATCTTATAATCAAAGAGCAGATAACTCAGAATGTTACTCGGTGGAGGGTGGGGGGGGTAGATAACTTAAGGAACACGCTTACGGTGATATGAAAAAAATCTGCATGTTAATCAAATAGAATAAAAGAGAACAGTTGATAAACTGTTGATTACATTGGTGAGTCGTGATCCCTGTACAGTACTATAGTATAAATTCAGTTCTTACAAACATGTATACATATAGATAACTATGAAACAGTCTAACAAACAGCAACACACCTCAAAATTGGCCTCAGGGACATTTACCAGCTAGTCCACTTAATATCAGGAATTTAGTTAGTGCCTTGGTTTTCAAAAAAACGATAAGTTCTACCCAGAAATCAAGTACAACCCATAAATGGCTCTTTTACAATAAATTACAAATGTATCAATAAATTGACTTCTGCTTTTGAGGTGTGTTTCACAAGGTGACATTCTAATCATTTTCACAAAGTGTTGATATATATATTTAAATATGTATATATAGAACACAATCCATCCTTAACCTGTGCTGACATAAATGCTACAGACAGATGGACAGACAGTGAAACACACAAGTTGACAACATATATATAACAAAAAAGAACGGACACAAATTTTGAAAGACAGACGGAAAAGTGAAAGAAAAGATTTGATGAATACTGATTCACTCCGCTCCTGTGAAAATTGAAAAATCCCTAAAAGTGAAAGTCAAAGTAATGTCAAAAGAAAACAATAGAAATGCTGAGAAATACAACTTTTTCAGTATTTCCGTATCTAACTCAGATGAGACAAACCAGAGTATTCCTTCCTGGATAGCTATACAACACAGACCCGGTGTTGTAACAGATCTAAGCAGTATTACTTTGGTTTCAGAGGCTGGCCTTATCACCATGGTGATTGGACTGTTGTGATATCTGACGCCTAGTATGATAACACAGCCTAAACAGTGAGGTAAATTCCTGTCCTGGCTTCTGTTACAAACATCACGCTTTACATTGAAAAAAATAATCAGGATATTCCACCCTTTCATGTTGATTGTCTCCCCTTATTTATCTCCCTTAAGTGATTCTAATCCATCCATTTGGGAAAAAAGAATTGGGAAAAGTTCAATATTGTTGAAATGTTACAGTGGGGAATTGCAAACAGGGAGAATAAAGATTAATCTGTAGTATCGACTAATGTTTATGGGCAAGACACTTTAAAAGAATGAATTAATTTACAGTGCATTTCTTTCATTAACAATATTAAGGTGATATCAAATAATCAAGGCAAGAATTTATCACCCTTTGCCATAAGCTGTTCATGTAAGTAGAACCATCATCAAAAGCTAGCCCAAACTTAAAACACAGCCATTATCAAAAACTTCCCCAATCTCACTTAGGAGCTTGGATTCAAGAAGCTTTTCCTCGTAATTTTTCATGGTGATATCTTCCCTAAAACTGTAGATTAATCCCTGAAGATTATCAAACTATAAATCAAATCACATTTCAGGAATAAAACTGAACATGTTCTCAACCTACAGAATGTAGTCCGAGGTCAATAACCTGTTATCAGAAATATAAACACATTGTAAGTCGTGTCATAAGATAGAAGTGATATCTTTTTTCTGATATACCGCACATGTTTATTGGCACCAAGTTTATTTACTTAAACCAGGAAATGCTTGTGCAACATATTTTTTCAACATGTTTTTTTTGTATTTTGTGAACAATTAATGAAACACAGAAACACAAACTTAACAGCCAAGTACAGCCATCCAGATAGCAGCTCCAAGAAGTCAGAGTTGATGGCTATTTATATACAGAATGATCAATGGTCACAATTAATGATAAAGAAAAGGTTGATGAAATGGTAGACGATTCTGTTCTATAGCACTCTTTGTGTTTATACAGATTGCAATCATCAAACCCCAGTCTGGGAGGGTCTACGTCCATGCAGCCGATTACGTTACAGGCCATGCACATGCAGCATGCATCGCCAAAGAAAGACACATATCTTAGTCTGGTGTATGTTTCAAGTCTCGCCGACCTAATAGGACTAAATCTGTTGCCGAGCAAAGAGTACATCTCCATACATCAAGAAGTTCAAGATGCTGCAAATTTGTTTATAAGGTGTGATTGTTATCCTTTTTCCCCATCTTTTATTTGGACTTTGAACTGTCTTCGGGGTTTTTCTCCAAAATCTTCAACAATAAGTTGGAAAGTTTCTTGTGATTTTTTGTTTTGTTATAATTAATTGTGTATTGGTCATATTGCACATTTTCATAGCAGTAATATTGGCTTTTCTATGCGGGTAAATACACTTTTTTACTGTACTACTTGTGTTTCTATGACAACTACAATGGTTACTATGACAACTTGTTAGTGTTGCTAAGTGACCATGTTTCACATGACAACATGATACTCACTACCTATGTGTTGCTAGGATATAAGTGTTGCTATGACAACACAACTACATGTATGTAGATGAGACAACATTGTTGCCATTTGTTACCATCACGGTGCTCTTCCCTACTCATGTGTTGCCATGACAATACATCTTAGTCCGACTTACGTTTGACATGGATATTGAGAAGCCAGCTTGACACGAACCCTGGTTGTTATGTTGGTCTATGCTATTGGGATTCAGATCAACCGCTATTTTGGAAAGGAAAACAAATGTTCTGCATAAAAACGAAACAATTTTTAAATAAAGACAAGATTCTCATGATATTGTGTTTATCGTTTTTCAGCAATACTCAGTAACAGCTGAGATCCTAATTGAATTTCCTTGCAGTACTTAACTTTTTAAAATGTGTTTAGAATATGAGCTTTTAATGAATTTAAATATACTAATAATATAACATAACTAATTTCAAAACAACTCCTCATAGATGGAATGTCGACTTTTACCCTACTTCTGAATGTTTTGTTTTTCTAAAATTAAAACATAATGCACTTCACACAATATCATGAAAATGTTTTCTTTAAAATGGATGTTCACTGAAAATTATCAAAATAAATTGGTGATATTTACAAATATATAGTGATTCATTCCAAATAAATACAAAAAAAAGCAAAAAAATGAAAAAGCCCAATGCTACCAGGCAGTTTTAGATCAGCATCTGAAAAGCAATGAAAAGATAAGAAAGCCAGCAAAAACTAATCAAAGTTAAAGCTGCAAGGCATAAATTGTAAATTAGAACTTAAGATTCTACTCAAGTATAAGTACAAAAGACAAAGAAATGTATTAATTTGCATATTGAATACGAAGAATGTTATTGATAAGTCAAGCTGAAGCAGTTAATTGACAGACAAAGACCCCATAGTTTTGCACCCTAGTCTGTCAAAGCAGAAAAAATAGCCACTTCAGGATAAATACAAATGTACCAGATCTATGAAATATGAAATTTGTAAAAAGACCAACCACCACGACAAACTAAAGAGACTATATATAGCTGACTGCAATTTTTTACCTTAACTCATTCACCCCTGAAGACACATTTCAACTCTTCCAAATCAAAGGTTGGAATAGTTCATTATGAAATTTCAGGGGTGAATCACAGAGTTCACATTCAAAATTTATTGTCGCTTTGTAGATTGCTTAGTGTGAATGCAGCCCAATGAGTTACATTCTGTAAGACACGTATAGCATTATAATATCCCTGAATCCTGCAGGAAGCATTTCAAACCAGATACAATGCTGAATAAATTGTACCTTGACCTCGTTGTGTTACATGACTTATTAGATTTACGAAATTCAATCAACTTTTATGGAAACTTAAACTGGATTTCTAATAAATAATATTGTTTCAAAGCTCTTTTAGAACTGAAACAGTCGGTCATATCTCAAAGAATCTCTCTAAACACAGTTGGAATGCAAAGATTTGCTGGATGGACCTCCATTAAATAATTGTCATTGTCAGCATGCTTTAGATGTTAATTATTAATGTACATTTTGGTTAATGTATCATTTATTTTTTGTTTAGATCAATACATTCCGTACATAGTTAACCGTTATTAATTTGTGATAACATATTACTGGTATTATACCCAGTGTAGTTGTGAATCCTTATTATATAAACAGCTAAATTAGCCTATTAAATTTTAGTTCCCTCATACTATGGTGAACTGGTTGTAAATTTCCCATATTTCATGTTAACCCATTCACCCCTAAAGTCACATTTGAACCTTACCAAATCAAAGACTGGGCAAGTCCAGTTTAGTTATGTAGGGGTGAATGATCATTTAATTTAAGATGATTTCAAACCAATTCTCATTATGTGTATTCAAGAAAATTGGCCATAAAACCCTTATAAGTGGAAACATCACAATTTTTGTATCATATCATCCTAGATTCTACAATGTAGCGTATCCAATTGTATTCAAAATGTAAGAGATCAAGAATTAATGGTTTTATTTTATTTACACCCGTCCCAGTTAGATTCGATGTCTATGGCAACTTGACAGTGTTTTAATGTGCCTGACACACTGCATATTGTATGTAATGCATTGTTGCTGAAATCTAATTATGTTTACATTTTAAGGCTCTCTGTACCACTAAAGAAAGAACACAAGAGAATTCCACTGTAGTTTTTCATATATACAAAGAGTAATCTCCCTTTATATTCATTTTGAATACAACTGTAGCACCACTGGCCCAGAACACTAACATTGACCAGGCAGCTGATCAGTTAGAGCTACAGTATGTGTACATATGATTGTAGGTGTAGGGTTCGAATCCTTGTCTGGTGCCCTGTTGCACTTTTACACTCAGAGCACTCAGAGCTCTGCAAGGTAATTTATCAAAGCTTAAGTCAGGATGAAGAATAAAAAATGCAGTCACAATTTAAGGTAACGGTATGCATGGGTATCATACATTTTACTCCCACTGCAAGGTTTATGTTTACAAGCGTTTATTTACATGTTCCATATTGACCTTGAATGAGGTTGACCTTGGATTATGTTAACCTTGAGATGACCACAGATCCTGTAACCGGGACACACCCAACCACTGAACTTCACTAACTACTTCAGTATTTCCTGTACTTGTTGTGAAGGAGTGTGTTATGTGTTCTGCTCCCGGTGTCTAACTTCCTTGTGACAGACCTTATTTACATGTATCGTCTCAATTTTTTATCCATTTTTTTTTAAAATCTTTCAAATAAATAGGACATGAAGATTCAGTATTTGTACCAAAAAAAGAGGAAACAATTTTAGTATAAAACACAAAAACACTACAAATCCGAAATATAACCATAGCAACAAGATTATTTATGTATAATCTATCCCGTTAAGATCCTGTTAAGATCCCATTAAGGGCTCTTAACTCTAACATATTCTTTTATCAATTTTAGGGCAAAAACAAAATCTAGTTCTCCACGGTATACATTGTTTGATGTATTAGCACAGTTTTGACATGTAAGTGCATATTGGCAAAAAAATAAGATTTAGAATTGAAATTTAATTTACCAGTACAAGACTCTTCAGCATGAAGAAATGAAATACTGTAAAAACTTCTCTGATGTGTTTATTAAACTTTCCCTTTAAAAAATGGTTTTCAGAGGGTTCTAAAATTCGCCCCCAAGACATAAAATTCAGGTTGGAATCATTTTGAGAGCAGCTGCTTAATATGTCGAACAGCTACTTAAACTGCAGAATCTGACCAGTCTACATTATCTTACAAATAAAGCCTTAAGGGGCTATAAACATTAATATCCTACTCAAAGTTGTGGGCGGGCTTATTACAGGACAATGAAATTGAATATTTTGGCATTCCCACTGATTTGTAATAGCTACAACTAATATCTTAATCAAAGTTGTGGGCGGGCTTATCACAGGACAATAAAATTGAATATTTTGGCATTTCCACTGAATTGTTATAGAATTACTCACAGTTGGGGGCGGGCTTATTACAGGACAATAAAATTGAATATTTTGGCATTTCCACTGAATTGTTATAGAATTACTCACAGTTGGGGGCGGGCTTATTACAGGACAATAAAATTGAATATTTTGGCATTTCCACTGATTTGTAATAGATACAACTAATATCTTACTCAAAGTTGGGGGCGGGCTTATTACAGGACAATGAAATTTAATTTGTTGGCATTTCCACTGAATTGTAATAGATACATGTGGGCTAATATATATAGGCCTGGGTTTACTGCTGGATTTAATACAATTTTCAGCAATGAGACATCAAACATGTATTTCACATGGTGAATCATTACCTGAAATACAACCAGATCTTTATTAATTTTTCTTTACAGGGAATCAGTCATAAGGCTATATATAGCCATCATAATTACCTTACTCATGATCCTAACAAATTTTAAGATGAAAGACTTAAAGTCATATACACAAACAGCCATTATATTTCATCAAAGAAGTATTGCAATCTCTATAGCATGACTTTAATCTATGGGATACTGTTCAATAATAATAACTGACTTGATATTTATACAGTGGAGCAAAGGGAAGTGAACAAAACACTCGGGACAGTAATCGAGATATTTAAGTGGCTGACTGACAGACCTGTTCCTGTTCTCCTATTACGAAGTCTGGGTTAATATATGACCACAACCAAAACCACCATGCATACCCCTTTCACCAAAATATGCCAAGCATGTCTTCTACACAGATTCCTGATTTCTTACATAACTTATCAAGGTCACTTAAAAGCTTTTAATTATAACATGGGTATGAATGTTGTCATTTCATAAGTATTTAAGTTTGTACAAACCAATTTCCATTATAAATATGCTTTTACCTATCATAAACACTTGAACTATTGTATATAATTCTCTACAGCTAAACAGTTATCATAATTAAAGAAATAATAAGATTTTTTTTATTATAAAACTGAATTTGAAGTGTGTTATTTTCCAGTATTACTTAATGATATTCTATTACTTAATGGTGTTTTGTGTCTCTCATGTCTCAGACCGATATACGGCCCTAATGAAGTTGATTTGAGTATCAATACATTCTACTTTATGGTACAGAGTTGTGTACACCTTCACAGCCTGCGAACTGTTTGGTACTAAATGTAGGTGGTGGGTTGGCGTCACAAAGCTGTCACCTGCCCGGCCAGGTGGATTTTCTCCAACACCCTGACCCCTCTGCACTAACATTTTGGCCAGCAAGAGTGATTTATATAAGTTGATTGAACTAATTTCAAAATAAATAAATTTTAGATATAACTTATCTTCTTTAACTATAAAGGTTGTACTACTGTGCAAATTACCAATGAAAATGTGATCAAAATCTGGTTTTTCTGTATTGAAGGGGTTGCTCTTATAATTAGTGACCAATCACCTGACCAATCACCTGACCAATCAAACAGAAAATCATGACGCTAACAAGTCACCAAATAAATAAATAAAAAATAAAAAACCGACAAAACGCAGAACTCAGGACTCAATACAGAAGTCAGTACAAAAAGGCAAACTGAGGATATCCCAAAGCAACTGTGCCACCATGAAAACCAGTAACTCTGCAATGGTGATCAAGCACTCTCCGACAGCTGTTACAGGTCTTATCCCGTATTCTGTTTAATCTCGGAACTGTGACATCATCACGGAGATCCGTAATGTAAACTTCACAGTGTCCTTCATAACACCAGGAATTAAGTAACTCCCACCAGATCAATTTATCGCAGAACTTATGTTACAAAAAAGTACTTTTGTTTTACAGTCTGTCAAAGGCTCTAGTTATCCACTCAACAAGCCTTAAATACATTCAAAGCAAGGATAAATCTGGATTTAGGTAAACGTTGGAGCGAAATTTAAAGCTTTATTTCCGTATTTTAACTCATTCACCCTTGAAATTTCATAATGAACTATTCCAACCTTTGAATTGGAAGAGTTCAAATGTGTCTTCAGGGGTGAATGAGTTAACACATATTCAATAAGTAGAGCAATAGAGGGTAGGAGACACGGCACATTTAACAGCACAACAGTAACAAACGGCCACAGCACACAACACAAAATACAGCGCAACACAGCACGCCATAATGTACACACATAACGCCTAATGTAGCTTCACATCACCACCTCAAGGTTGCAAATACAATGACCTTGTCACCTACGTCAAGTTAGAGTTATCTCTCTTGACTTCATTTCATAAGAATAAGAATATGAGTAACAATGACTCCAGATTTGTAAAAATATCAAGCAAAATGAAATCAAAATGATGTGCAGCATCTCCAGCAATAGCTTAAATCAAGGCCGGCACAAATTGTTTTTCTGAAAACCAATTGAAAAACAATCGAATCTGCAACATTCTCAGCCCACGTTGAAAACATATATAAGCGAAAAATATGCCATTCTGGAAAATACCCATTGCTGTTGAAAAAATAACAGGTGATAATTCAATCTGTCACGCACGCAACACATGCTGACACGTTATCAGCCTTGGACATGACTATTACCCCAAGCGTCACAGCACAGACAATCAATAATCAAGACAACGATTTAATTTACATTGTTTCTCAGCCTGATATCTGCAAATTCAAAACCCATCTGTCTTGAGATGTTGACGGACCAATGATTGATTGCTTTTGATCCCAGACCTGATTTGTTTTCTGAAATTGCTTCTTAAAAGACATTTGTCAAAAAGTACTCTCTCTTGAAAACTGCGGTTTTTGTCAACAGCACTTTAAGCACAGCAATCATCCTTTTAAGGAGTAATGGGTGTAGCCTAGGGACAACAGACAAGACAATTGTCCTTTGAAGGAATTATTTATGTTGCCTACAAGAAAGTAGACAAATTAGCATTTGTCCTTTCAAGTAATCGTTGATTCGTCATATAGGAAGAAAGATAAGGCAATCATCCTTCGAAGTATTCATTGTTTTGGTCTATAGGATTTGAAACAGGGCAATCATCCTTTGACGAAATCCTTGCCGCCATCATAATACTATTTATAAGCTTATATATCCTGTTTGCTTCTCATTCTTTTGCATCATAGGAAAAAAAGCTAACCCTTAATTCAACATCACACTGGGGAAAATATTTTTTTTATATTTTTTATTTTTTGAATTTTTTCAACAGTACATTAAACATAACACATCATATTTCAGTGGGGAAAATATTGCATTCCATATGGTCTGCTGAAAATGAATACATATATTGAATCATCCTTGGACTTGTGGTGTTGACCCAAAATCATTGCTGTAGGATCATGTCCCATCTTAGTCTCTTTCCTTTGAATATAAACATTTAGAAAGAGAAAAACATTCATGAAATAAAATCAGATATTAACCATGCATGCAGTCTACTCTAAGCTGGTATGTTTTACACGGTTACAAAAGGTGTGTTACTTACAGGATTTACAGGGATTGAACTCCTGGAATGAGTTGTACCTGTTAAGGTAGCAGGTGCCCACTGGTGCTCTCTTGTCCGCTTTGGGAGACTTGTAAACGTATCGCGGTGCACATGCCTGCAAAATAAAAACTAAATTTTAGTATACTCAGATTTGAAATTGTTAAGATGTCTGGGTTATTCAAAAGGGACCGGAGTAACGTCAGCTTCAGTTTGCTTCATACAGTCAAACCTGCATGAAGATACAAAAAAGTGGTCTCTTAACACTGATGGTCTTTAATAAAGCTTCAATTCAAAGAATGAAAGCTCTACAATAAGAAACATTAGAAAAGGTCTCTTAATACAGGTTAGGTTTATAATGAAATTACTACAATGAGAAGTAATAGAAGTAATAAAAATAATAATATACACCATTTGATATAGCACCCTATCTAGCTAACATAAGCCACTCTAAAGCACTTTATAGTACATAGATATACAATTAATACAATTAGCATATATGTTAATCAATACATTTTTGAGGAAATCGCAGGAGCTGCCTTATCAGGCGCTAACTACTAGCCCTATGCCACCTGGCTAATATCTACCTATATGTGTATGCCTGCATGTGTGTTGGAGATGTAATGTGTTCTGTTTGTAGTGGGACCGTGCTTCCAACGACATTATTTATAGTGCCATCTCACTTGAACGCTACAGCACAGGGTAACCGCAACATCCACCCCAGACCTGGGTTGTTGGAGTTGTGTGGGCAGGAGAAAAACACTTTCTCTGAATATGCATGCGTAAGACGACTTAGGGGATCGAACCCCGGCCGCCTGCGTGGAAGGCTGTAGTGTTAACCACTCAACCAATCCGACCATGAAGTGACCTCTTAATTAACACAGGTGTATTCTCATTCACGTGAGCAGATAATACAAAAGCTCAGTCAACACCCTGGTCTTGCTTTAACTTTTGCAACACTGAATCCTTTTGGCCTAGGGATTCTTGAATCATACTAATTAAATTTCGTCAAAATATCTTTTGCTTTCCCCCCCCCCCAAGATAAATTGGAGTCTTTTCAAGGAAACGGAAACGTTATGCACAGAAAACAATTGCCACACATCTGCACCATATAACTGGCAAAAAGTGCCAAAAGAGTTTTTAACAAGTTAAAAATACAAGAAAACTTCACTGAATTTATATAGGTTTGGTCACTACAGAACTACCAGGTCATTGACAAATTACTCCACTTTCTGTGTAAAAATACCAACTGACATGACCAGTTGTCATGGAGATTGGTTGTTTTTGTCAGGTTTATAAGTCTGTTGTCAGGCAAATTACAGTATCTGTCTTAGTGATGTGCCCCAGTGCTATGTGGGAAAGGGGAGAATCTGCCCCTCCCAAGGACACGATTTTCACATTAATGTCACTACTGGTACCTTCTCAATAAAGCCAGGGATCCCTCACATTTACCTCGCCAGAACTAAACCTGACCCTGTTCTATGTCTATGAGGGAGTATATGTTCCCCAATAAAACCGCCTGGAGCCAAGACAAAGGTTGTCTAATTGTCTTCATACTCAGGATGTGTGACATTTCCGACAAGGCATTGCACTTCCTCTCAGTTGTAATATAAACTCAAGGAGCACTACAGTATCACAACATCCTCCTGTAGGGGCACAACCTGTAATGATAGGATCCTACAACCACAACCTGTAACCATGGGAACTTAAAAACCAGTCTGTAATTATATAGGATCCTACAACCACAACCTGTAACCATGGGATCTTAAAAACCAGTCTGTAATTATATAGGATCCTACAACCACAACGTGTAACCATGGGATCTTAATTATAAACCAGTCTGTCATTATATAGGATCCTACAACCACAACCTGTAACCATGGGATCTTAAAAACCAGTCTGTAATTATATAGGATCCTACAGCCACAACCTGTAACCATGGGATCTTTAAAACCAGTCTGTCATTATAGAGGATCCTACAACCACAACCTGTAACCATGGGATCTTAAAAACAAGTCTGTAATTACATAGGATCCTACAACCACAACCTGTAACCATGGAATCTTAAAAACCAGTCTGTAATTACATAGGATCCTACAACCACAACCTGTAACCATGGGATCTTTAAAACCAGTCTGTAATTATATAGGATCCTACACCCACAACCTGTAACCATGGGATCTTTAAAACCAGTCTGCAATTATATAGGATCCTACAACCACATCCTGTAACCAAGGGATCTTATAAACCAGTCTGTAATTATATAGGATCCTACAACCACAACCTGGAACCATGGGATCTTTAAAACCAGTCTGTAATTATGTAGGATCCTACAGCCAAAACCTGTAACCATGGGATCTTTAAAACCAGTCTGTCATTATATAGGATCCTACAACCACAACCTGTAACGGTGGGATCTTAAAAACCAGTCTGTAATTATATAGGATCCTACAGCCACATCCTGTAACCATGGGATCTTATAAACCATTCTGTAATTATATAGGATCCTACAACCACAACCTGGAACCATGGGATCTTTAAAACCAGTCTGTAATTATATAGGATCCTACAACCACATCCTGTAACCATGGGATCTTATAAACCAGTCTGTAATTATATAGGATCCTACAACCACAACCTGTAACCATGGGATCTTAAAAAACAGTCTGTAATTATATAGGATCATATAGCAACAGCCTGTAACCATTGGACCCTACAACCAGTCTGCAATCATAAGATACTACAACTACAACCTGTAATCATAGAACCATACAGCCACAGCCTGTAACCATTGGACCCTACAACCAGTCTGTACTCATAAGATACTACAACTACAACCTGTAATCATAGAACCATACAGCCACAGCCTGTAACCATTGGATACTACAACCACAGTCTGTAACCATGGAGTTCTAAAACTACAGCCTGTAACCATTGGAGTCCTAAAACCACAGTCTGTAACCAAGGAGTCCTAAAACCACAGCCTGTAACCATTGGATACTACAACAGTCTGTAACCATGGAGTCCTAAACACACACTGTAACCATTGGATACTACTATCACAGTCTGTAACCATTGGATACTACTATCACAGTCTGTAACCATTGGATACTACAATCACAGTCTGTGACCATGGAGTCCTACAAACACAGTCTGTAACCATTGGATACTACAATCACAGTCTGTAACCATGGAGTCCTACAAACACAGTCTGTAACCATTGGATCCTACAACCACAGTCTGTAACCATGGAGTCCTAAAACCACAGCCTGTAACCATTGGATACTACAACCAGTCTGTAACCATGGAGTCCTAAACACACACTGTAACCATTGGATACTACAATCACAGTCTGTAACCATGGAGTCCTACAAACACAGTCTGTAACCACGGAGTCCTAAAACAACAGCCTGTAACCATTGGATCCTATAACCACAGTCTGTAACCACAGAGTCCTAAAACCACAGTCTGTAACCATGAGTCCTAAAACCACAGCCTGTAACCATTGGATCCTATAACCACAGTCTGTAACCATTGGATCCTATAACCACAGCCTGTAACCATAGAATCCTATAACCACAGCCTGTAACCATTGAATCCTATAACCACAACCTGTAACCATGGTATCTTACAACCAAAACCTGTAACCGCCACAGCCTATAACCATAAAGCACAATCTGCAATTCCTACTAAAAAAATATTGTTTTACCAAATCTTCCATGAAACGTACATATAATGGATTGGAGTAAATCTATAAGGTATCAAAGGGAAGATAACTCCGACATCTGTAAATCGTAAAAAATACACATTCAAGACTGGACTTTGCAGCCTCTGTGTAACATTATATAAGTGTTCAAATAAATATATCTAACAGTCGAATAGTAACATGTTACCAGAATCTAGGGACCTGTTGAATATTTCTACAAACATCATATTTATAGTTTCATCATCATAAAAACTATTATAGCGAGAACCTTTTAAACTTTTCATTACTAATGTAACCCAAACAGCAATACAACATGTTATAGCCTAGCTGGCCTTATAGCAGACGGAGACCATAAAAAACCCATCCCTCCAAAATGAACAGTCTGTCTTTTGACCAGTTTAACTGGGCCTTACGTGCCTGATAAGGAGAATCAGGGGTGATAAAAAGACACGTCTGCAAGCACACAGGGAACAGCTCCACTTATGATAATTGGCAAATAATTGGGTAGGTCTCCAAAGTTGTTCACTTGTGGTGAAGAATAGGAGTGTTTCAGGCACTCAGAATGGGTGACGTAGGAGAATTATAATACACGTAGGGTATTCAGGTAGCCATATTTGGTTCTGAAATGCATGTAACACTGTTACTTGTCATACACAGTAACTATTTCTTTGAGTAAAGTTTACTGGGGATGATACATGAAACACTTGTCAAACAGATTCACGCCACGCAATTGTAAATTTAAATGTTTCTTACTAGTTTTCAACATTTTTACATTTTTTGTTGCTCAAGACTTGTTTCCCTTAACTCATTCACCCCTACATATTTAAACTGGACCTGCCCAGTCTTTGATTTGGTAAGGTTCAAACGTTACTTAAGGGGTGAATGGATTAAGGAAGTTTCCTGTACGCTTCAAAATTGTGTGGTAGCTAGGTTCTAACATTGTAAAGTCCCCTATCTAGCTTCGTGCTAGAAGGAATTTCCCTTTAGCTCAAAAGTAGAGAGGCAGACTGGGACACCGTGGACTGCTGGTTCTCTCTCCTATTACACAATGGTGACAGGGAGTTAGAACCTGGGTTGTTGTGGTATTCGAAGGCTAACACATTTAAAAGGGGGAGTAATGCAACAGGTTTTAATTGAACATAGGATCCTGGTCCTTTAATTTCAGCTTCTCGATATTAAAATTTTTCCCTTAAGCTCATGATCGATTGGTAGAACAGTGGACTGGAAAGCTTGGGTTCACTTGTTCAAACCCTGATTGAGGCACACTACTCTCTTTCCTGTTGTCTCTGGGATTTTTTCTTGTCCTTAATTTCTCCACAATGTAATTTATAGCTTCCTTTGGTACTTTTCACACTAACTGTACATTTTCAAGAAGTGTAGTTACTTCATCCTGGTTTACAAGTTTCTTAAAG